GGGGGAAAGGGGGTGAGGGAGGGAGGGAGGGAGGGAGGGAGAGCACTTGTGTATTGACAAAGTTATTCGTTCCTGCAGGCAGCATGAGCAAATGTCTACAGAAATACTAGATATGCTGATTGATGATAACAACATTGACATTGACCCAGAGATGATCAAGAAAGCGAAGGTGCCCATTGTTTTCTCCATTATCAACCATGCCCTGTCTTTAAACAGGAACCATGCCCTGTCTCTAAGCAGATGTGGTCTGTCTAGGTACCTGCGAGGGTATGTACAGTGTAATATGTATGGATTTTCCAATAATGCATTGGTCCCTGTCTTTAAACAGGAACCATGCCCTGTCTCTAAGCAGGTGTGGTCTGTCTAGGTACCTGCGAGGGTATGTACAGTGTAATATGTATGGATTTTCCAATAATGCATTGGTCTCTTGACTCTCTTCTCATGGGGATTTCCTTTTCTGTTTCTCTCCCCTTAAAAAAATAATAATAATAAAAAAAATGAAAACAGGGCCTTTTGGCTCTGACTCCATGTGCATTCTGGGGAGTGACAGTATGGTTCCCTTTTCTTTTTTTTTTGTGTGTGTGTGTCAGTATGGTTCCTATTTCACCGGCAAGTCAAGAATACAATGTGAACACACTCCGACGCTTCTCCCCTTTATGGTAGGGAGACCGGAGTGGGGGGCATTGATTCCTCTAAGTTCCAATATGAACCCCTCACCCCTGCCAAAGTTTGTCAGATATCCTTGAGAGTCTGGAGTGACGTGTTATTTCCTATCTACCTCCTCTGATATGCTGTCTATACTATTCTGTTTCGTATGCTTCCAACTGTTTCAAGTCCGTTCAGTTTTCTTTGAGAGAATCTCTGACGGGATGCCTTCTAGGGTCCTTGAAGGGTCCTATAGATGTTTATGATGTGGGTTGTTTTCCAGTATTCTTTCTCTGCTGCTCGTCGATGTCTGGTTCTAATCCCTTATGCCCTTACCTTGGTCCCCTTAGCTTGAAGTGGTTGTCTATCAGAAGACCTTTTGTGTTCTCCTCTTCCTATTAATCCATGTAAGGCTTTCACTCCTCGAATACAATGGTATTTTACACCAGGCAAATCTTTGACTCTACCTCCTCGTCTTCCTCCTGATCTGTCGGCTCTACCCTTTCTGTAGCTGAGAGTTTATCCCATGGCTTGGGCTATTTGTTCTTCTTTCAACCATAATTAGTAATTTGTAATTACTCAAAACTCTTTCTGTAATATGACATTCTTCTCACAAACGGTTATCGGGTAGCTGAAAATTCAGGAATGAAATTTTTGAAGTGAGAGTTTTGGGCAGTCTGAAAATCCTGAATGGTCCTGGAGTGGTGAAAGGTCCGAAGACCCTGAAAACCACCTGTTTAGGCAGGCTGCATCTTGGAAGTGGTGAAGGGTGTCCTGAAGTGGTCAAGTGAGAGTTTTGGGTAGTGTGAACATCCTGAATGGTTTTGAAGTCACCACTTGAGGATGTAGCCTGCCTAAACAGATGGTTTTCAGGGTCTCCGGACCTTTCACCACTTCAGGATCATTCAGGATTTTCAGATATAAAGGGTCGTGAAATGGTGAAAGGTCCAAAGACCCTAAAATCCACCTGTTTAGGAAGGCTGCATCCTCAAGTGTTGATGGGTGTCCTGAAGTAGTGATGAAAAATACGACTGTTGTTAACCTTCTCTCGTTCTTATGGTTAACTTATCTGGTTCCTTGTCCATTATGAGTACTTGTTTTCATTCTTCCCTGATTTCTGCTTCCATGATCTCTTTGGCCTCCTCACAGGACTATTGTCTAGAATGTTCTTTTCCGTCCGACTGTCCCACTGGGTGGTCTTCCTCAATAGCTCCGGTATGTTTCTATCCTCCTCCACTAGGCCTTCTCTGTTTATTGCTGTCAACAAGAAAAATCGGTTAGTTGGGTATTCTGTCGATGATAACTTAACTAAGTTACTATTTTATCCTCCTCCACTAGGCCTTTTTTGTATATTACTGTCAACAAGAAGAATCGGTTAGTTGGGTATTTTGTCAATGATAACTGACAAAGTTACCACATGTCCTTCTGCACCTATCCCATAATACCTGGGTTTTCAGGCACATTTTGCAAAGAGGACACTCCTTTGATCTGTCCCCTCTAGGGCTTCGATAAAACTTTCATCAGTAGTTTCAATTATTGAACTTCTGTTGAATAGGTTGATTGCATTTACCACCTCTATATCTACTCATAATGTGTTTGTTCCTTTGGCTATGGTTGTGGTGTCCCCTCTAGGGCTTCGATAAAACTTTCATCAGTAGCTCCAATTATTGAACTTCTGTTGAATAGGTTGATTGCATTTACCACCTCTATATCTACTCATAATGTGTTTGTTCCTTTGGCTATGGTTGTGGTGTCTGCTAGGAAATGATTCTTGCAACATCTACTCCTGGATTTGTAAATGTGAGTATGGACAAGATGGCACGTGTATTCCTGTCAGAGCATACTTAGATTCTAACTTTTCTAAACATATATGACTGTAATCAAGATCGGGGCTGGATGTATGTGATGGCAATCATGTCCGAAGCTTGGCCAAAAAAATGCTAGTGTGAGTGTCGGAAGGTATGTTGTGTTTAGTGGGAAGATGCAGCCCAGTAACCCTTGGTCTTAAGGCATGAAAAGAATTGCAGCTAAGCTTGAAGTTACCAAATTGACCTAGGGTTGACAAAGAATGGTCTTTCAAAGAATCGTCTTTCATGTAGTGTTTCATTGTGCCCTTGTGGGTCAAACAAATCAATAAGGTAGAAAAAAGAAGTGCACAGTCTATAAGAAGTGGTATAGAGCCCTAAATTTTTAGTTTTTTTTTTTAGGGTCATTATAACAAACGTCCCACAACGGACTCACACCTTTTGAGCCGAACTTGTCACCAGTCCATAGATAGGACACCAAATAAAGCAAAAAAAAAAAACAATTACGGTCAATGACTTTTCGAATCTTTGTTGTTGAAAGTAATTATGAAGTGAAGATGTTTCAACATTTTTGAAATCCTTTGAACTCTTTTAAGTTTCAACGAAGTGTTGAAAATGTTGAATACCCTAGCTTTCGGAGAACGTTGAATTAATCTTCAAAATATTCAGCTTCCCCCTCTTGTTCGGATGCATATAAACGTTGAATATTTTGAAGAATGTACGAAAAATGTTGAAGTACAGCCCCCCAATCCAAGTATGTAGGAACAATGAAGATTCTAAAAATTTTGAAGTGGTGAAGAGTCTTAAAATTTTGACACCCCCCCCCTTTTGTTTTATATCTTTAAATGGTGGTGTGCTTCAATATTTTCAGTGGAATCTCCACTTCAAGATCTTCAGACCGCTCAACATTTAACCCCTTTCTCTGAGTGTATATCAGTCTTGAACATTCTAAAGACTAAGTGGTGAATCCATTGAATATGTTGAAGTGCACCGCCCCTGTTCGAGTGTGTAGAAACGCTGAAGATTTTGAAATTTTTAAAGTGGTGAAGATGCTAAAAATTATGAACCCCTTCCCTCCCCCCTGCTTCCCCCTTTTTTTTCTAAGGAGAGGGGGGGGGTAACTTCAGCATTTGTAGTAAATGCGGCATTTCAATTCAGAATGTTCAGCGTTCGCCCCCCACGCTCTGGGCTTGTAAGAACGTTGAAAATTTTAAAAATTCTGAAGTGGTGAATCCATTGAAAATGTTGAACCAAACCCCCCTGTCTAGGTTTGCGAACAGACCAAACACGAGTCAACCGCAAGGATCAAACGTGCGACCTCCATATCAGGAGGCAAACACTCAACCCAATCTAAGTGGACTCGGGCGAAAGTTAAGCCCCAAGATGAGCAACCCCACCCTAGCATAGGTACTCATTTTTCCTCGCGACCCGGTGTATGTAGTCACACACACCCAACACAGCTGTCGACGCGGCCACCACACAGTGTAGAATTGCAGTGCAGGTTGTTACGCTAGTCAACGAGCTGACCATAAGGATTGAACGCATGACCTTCATATTAGGAGGCAAACACTCCAACGACTAAGTGCATTGGGGTGAAAGTTAAGCCCCAAGATGAGCATTTAACCCCACCCGAACACGGGTAGTAGTTTCCCCCCCACCTAGCACGGGTACTCGTTTCCCCCCCACGACCCGGTGAACCCAGTCACACACACCCAACACGGGCGTCGACGCAGCCACCACACAATGTACAATTGCACTGAGGTTGCTATGCTAGTCATATACGAATATAAATCAAATACGAGCCGACCACAAGGATCGAACGCGCGACCTCCATATAAAGAGGCAGCCACTCAACCAAATGGCTAAGGGGATAGGGGTGAAAGGCAAACCCCAAGATGAGCACTTAACCCCACCCCTGCACGAGTACTCGTGTTCCCTCCACGACCCGGTGTACCCAGTCGCACACACCCAACACAGGCGTCGACGTAGCCACCAAACAGTGTAAAATTGCACTGCAGGTTGCTACGCTAGCCATATGTGAACGTAGACCAAACACGAGCTGATCACATGGATCGAGCGTGCGACCTCCATATGAGGAGGCAAACACTTAAGCCCCGAGAAAGCACTTAACCCCACCCCAACGCGGATACTCGTTTTCCCCCGTGACCTCCATATGAGGTGGCAAACACTCAATCAAACGGATAAGTGGAATGGGGTGAAAATTAAGCCCCAAGAAAGCACTTAAACCCACCCCAACACGGGTAGTCGTTTTCCCCCGCGACCTGTTGTACCCAGTCACACACCCAACACAGGTGTCGACGCAGCCACCACATAGTGTACAATTGCACTGCAGGTTTCTACGCTAGTCATATGAGAACCACCACAGTGTACAATTGCACTGCAGATTTCTACGCTAGTCATATGAGAATATAAACCAAACACGAGCCGATCACAAGGATCGAACGCGTGATCTCCATGTCAGGAGGCAAATATTCAACCAAATGACTAGGTGGACTGCGGTGAAAATTAAGTTTAAGATGAGCACTACTCGTTTTCCCTGCGACTCGGAGCACCCAGTCACACACAACCTGGCGTCGACACAGCCACCACAGTGTACAATTGCACTGCAGGTTGCTACGCTAGTCAAATGTGAACATAGATCAAATACGAGCCGACCACAAGGATCGAATGCGCGGCCTCCATATAAGGAGGCGAACACTAAACCAAAGCTAAGTGGACTGGGGTGAAAATTGAGCCCCAAGATAAGCACTTAACCCCACCCAGCATGGGTACTCATTTTTCCCTGCGACCCGGTGTACCCAATCACACACACCCTACTCAGGCGTCGACGCAGCCACCACACAATGTACAATTGCACTGCAGGTTCCTACGCTAGTCATATGTGAACACAAACCAAACACGAGCCCACCACAAGGATCGAATGCGCGACCTCCATATCAGGAGGCAAACATTGAACTAAATGGCTAAGTGGACTGGGGTGAAAGTTAAGCCCCAAGATGAGCACTTAACCCCACCCCAGCACGAGTACTCATTTTCCCCCCGCGACCCGGTGTAGAGGTGAAAGTTAAGCCCCAAGATGAGCACTTAACCTCACCCCAACACGGGTACTCGTTTTCCCCGCAGCCCGGTGTACCCAGTCACACACACCCAACACAGGCGTCGACGCAGCCACCACTATATAGGTTGTAAAAACGTTGAATATTTTGAATATTTTGAAGTGGATCCACTGAAAACGCTAAGCCGACCCCCCCTCGCTAGCCTCAACCCCCCCTCGTGAGTCTTCAAAATGTTGAAGTACACCCCCCCATGTCCAGGTGTATATGTGTGAGTGTGTATGAATGTTGAATGCACTCTTATATAAACGCTGAATTTTAGAGGACCTGTTGACCTTCTCTCTCAAAAAAAAGTGAAAAACGGATAAAAGAGGCATGAAACCACTCTTGCGGCGCATATAGGTGAGATGTGCCGTGCAGTGCGAGAAAAAAAAAAAGTGACCGTAACACGCTAGAGAGAGAGAGAGAGAGAGAGAGAGAGAGAGAGAAGAGCCCCTTCACATTATTCAGAAAACCCTTGCCGATACTTCAAAAGGCCCCTGCCAAAATTTAGGCCCCTGCCAAAATTTAGCAAGGATCTCCGCGGCAAGAAGAGGGTAGTCGTTCTGCTTGTAGGAAGGCAATAGCCGGCGAGCTATATATGGTGTAGCTTCGAATTCAGGTCCGTGTTTCAGCAGTTATGGGTTACTGACTTACTAACTCCACGTGTGATTTCCATGGCTTCAGTCCACTACTCACCAAATGTGTAAAACTAGAATGAATCTTCTCCTAGGAACTGGAACCATACCCCGCCATATGTTGTCTTTTGTGCAAGTGGTGATGAGTGGAGTGAGGGCCTTAGTGCCACTGCACGTAAGAAATGGAAAAACAAAAAAATGAGAGAGCTACAGTAGTGTTAGTTAGTAACCCATAACTGCTGGAACGCAGACCTGAATCAGTATCCAGAATATATTGCTGGCTTGCTTGTGTCCCTCCAGCAATTTGATGAGCGCTTTTCCAACGACATTGGACCCCTGCTAATTCTTTGCTGGGGACCCTTCGAAAAAGAGATGAGATCCATTGAGGCGTACGCTGTGCCCCCATTTTTTTTGTTGTTTTTTTGTGCACTAATAATTTTTGGAAGGGATGGGCACACTTGGCTACAATAGCCTGCCCTTTTTGAATTTATAACCGATCCTATTTTTGTACTTGCGCGCATCACATATGTGCGCATGCGTGCACGTGCGCTATGCGGCGCATGTGTGAACTTGCGCGCAGGTGATGCGCCACATGTATGCCTGAAACCCCAAGGCAAAATGTGTTTTCAGACCTGGGGGGTTAACCTGGGGCTAAGAAGTGGAGGTCCCTGTTAACCACTTGTATCTTCAGTTCGAAGATGGCAAGGATGCACTATTTTTCTTTTTCTCAGTTTGGGAAGTGGTGGATTGAGGTGTATGACCTAGGATATGAGGCCTGGTTATTATGGTGAAGTGCACTCTGTGCGTGAAATGTGATAGACAGGAATTTATACATGAGTTGCCTAAGGAAGATACAATGTAGCATGAAAAGGCAGGTCACGGAGGGGTTTGACGTGCTAATCTTGTCTAGGTGCTGTCATCGTGAACATGCTCTCATTGGGCTAGGGTAGGTGCAGAGATTCTGGCGGCAGGTCATCGGGAGAAAAAAAGATGATACCTGAACTATCAATAGGTTTAAATTGCTTTCAGTTTTTTGCTCAGATATGAGGATCTTCTTTCACCTTTGTTCCTTTGGCTTTGTGCATGTGGTGGTGGATTCAATCAGAATGTGAGCACCATGACGAAGGGGTTCCTGTATGACATTGTTGCCAATCCAAGGACGGGAATTGACGTTGACAAGTGAGTTTTTTATATTCCCATAGCCAAAAAAACTATCGTCTTTCACCCTCGATTGACACATATAGTGAACCACACGATGGCATAAATGCCCAAGTTCAAGACGGTGAGGTCTACTGCTTGAAGAACGTATATCTGACTTTCCTATATAGAATTGATCGAATGTTAAAGGGAGTCCACTTGACAGTGGACGCCCGATTGAATAGATTCAAATGATCAGTGCTATAATACTTCCCTGTAACCCCCTACCCTTTGAATGCCCTCTTCCCCATTTCACCCTCCCTCCTCTCCGTCAACTACTCCCTCTGCTCTTCTCTGGCCGCCTCTCACCCCCCCCGCCGTACTTCTTCCTCCCTCAGCCGCTCCACAGCATCCGCTTTGTGCAGCTTCATGCAGTCTAACAGTTCATAAATTTTAATATTCTAAATTATAATCAATCGAATGAGTTTGATTCAATGCTATATTACCTTCCCGTCACCCCTGCCCTTGAAATGCTCCCTCCCCTCCTTTACCTTCCCTTCTCCCTCTAACCCCTCTGCTCTTGCTTGCCCCCTCGTCCCCCCCCCCCCCCCCCCCCCCCCCACACTCTTGGAGCTAATCCGTGACCGCCACTTGCATCCTCTTTGTGCTGGTTCATACATTTTGTCGATGTTAACGGCTGCATCGAAGATTTGTAGTTGGGCGAGGTACTGGTGATTTAATTACACCTCACCAATTGTGTTGCGGTGCAGGGCACAGGGTTCTTTCGACCTGTTTGTTTGTTTTTGTATGCCAGGGGCCCAGCTTTAGGCTCGGTTCTCGAATTCTGGCGACCGAGTGAGGGTCGAAAATTTTTCGCGGGTCTAAGTTGGACGCGTTGGCTGCAAAAAATTTCCGGGTCTCTTGGTGGGTTGGTGGCCTGAGGGTAGGGGTCGTGTCTTGGGAATGACGGACCGCCATTGACCTGTGTTTTCGTCCCAAGGATGACGTACTCGATTGTACCGTAGAGTATTTAGGATTGTAGAACATGCAGAGTTCCTCATCTTACGTGACATAGACCCCTGATAAGTCCGTCTCTGGAGACGCATTGGCTGCAAATTTTTTTCGGGTTTCTTGGTGGGTTGGTGGCCTGAGGTTAGGGGTCGCGTCTTGGGAATGACGGACCGCCATTGACCTGCGGTTTCGTCCCAAGGATGACGTACTCGATTGTACCGTAGAGTATTAAGAATTGTAGAACATGCAGAGTTCCTCATCTTACGTGACATAGACCCCTGATGAGTCCGGCTCTGGCAATCGGATGAAACATGTAGGGTCATCCGCCAATGACTCGATTTGTGCTTCACTGACTATGGGCGTGCCACCTATAAGATTGAGTTTGCTTGGGCTGTTGTTCAGGTTTTCTCACGATTTTCAAATGCCCAGCCCGTCGCGTTTGGGATTGTAACTCTGCGTGTTGCTACTTTCTTCTTCTTCTCTTTCTCTTCCTCTACTTCTTCTTCTTCTTCTTCTTCTTCTTCTTCTTCTTCTCGTTGGCAGTTGTGTTTCAGTGGGTATTGCATGTTCTCAATCTTTCCTGATGCTTGTCGTATGAATGAAGCTACACTTTTGAACATTACATTGCCACACTGGTCTGTTACTGCAGTGAGACATGCTTTCCGTATTGTGATCTCATTGTAGCTCAATCTGCTGGATGGCTCCCTTTAATTTCATACTAAGCTTCATGTGCCTATTTTCAATTTTTAGCACACATAGCCAACTGCCCATGTGGGATTTTTGCAACTCGGCCTGCTCTCCTCTAAATGTGTTTTTCTAACTCAGGTTACTTCCTTGTGAATGTGTACTTCCCTTAGCCTGCAACGTATGTTAATAGTAGCTTTATCGTGGTGCGTCGGACGGGTGTCGGGCAGTGAACGCCCGGTTGCCCTCTAAGCTTCTAAAGACGTATAAAAAAAAACGAAAAAAGAAACCTACTGCGATTTCAATGATGTCAGGCTACGCTCTCCAACAGGTCGTGCTCACGCTGGTGTTGTGAAAAATGAATCTAACTACTATTACATGCAAAGATATGAGGAGATGTTTTTTTTGTTTACTGTCCCTGCCAGCGAGGTAGGGTGTATCCCGTGATGTTTTTAAGCCCTTCTATGAGGGCATACTCACAGTGGCACATCCAATGATGTATCCGAAGATTCCGAACCAATTCCAGGGCCGAAGCTGTGTTTTTTTTTGTCTTCTTTTCTTTTGGAGATTCTGACCTGCGAGTTCGCTTGGTAGTGAGGCCAAAACCGTGTTTATTTTTTTGTCTTCTTTTCTTTTATAGATTTTGACCTGCGAGTTCCCTTGGTACCCTTGAATGTTGCCCAAAATTGACGAAGCCCGAACATTTATATATATGAGGACCTCGTTGTGCCCAATGGACAACTGATTCAGGCCCGAATACCCTTTATGTTTCTCAGATTCTCCAACATCTTCGCTTTGTTGTACAAAACACTTTTCTAGACATGAGAGATGGCATGCTTCGGAAACAAATTATCGGTATTCCAATGGGAACGAATGCTGGCCCAGGAATTTCTAATCTGATGCTGTATTGGGATGAAGCACGCTTTGTTGATGACATTCGTCAGCATGATCTTCAAGCTGCTCAACAATATGCCTTCACCTATTGCCTCATTGATGATGTTCTTTCATGCGGACAATTACCTCCACCAGAGCACCATGGGCTTGAGTGGAAGGAGACTACAACTACAGATGGTTTGTGTACCTTTTTAGATACACATCTATGGGTTCTGATGGCTCGCTTCGCATGAGCGTCTTTGATCAAGCGGTTGCTTGGGACTTTCCTATCATTCGTATTCGTTATCCAAGTGCGACCTCCAACGTCCCTTCCCATCAACCGGCTGGTGTGTTCACTGGGCAATCGACCAGATTTGAACAAACATGTAACAATTGGCAGAACTTTCGAACTGCGGCAACAACACTTGTCGCATGCTTTCGCGTGGGCATTCCCCAGCAACCCTTGCTAAGGGGTGGACTTGCTACATGCACTCCCGCCAACGTCGCTATCCTGTGCATGTGATGCAGCTCTCTATAAGTGGTTTCGACGCACACTGCAATGGTCCTTGTATCATTCAATTTCTTCTTCGCCCCCACGATGCTCTCGTCCTGCCCCTGCGTGCTCATCTGTTGCTACCGCAGTTTCCACTGTTGCAGTCTCCAGTCCTGCAGTTTCCATAGCTGCAGTCTCCACTCTTGCAGTTTTCACTGTTGCGGTTTCCACTGCTGTAGTGTCCACTGCTCCAGTTTCCACTGCTCCAGTTTCCGCTGCTGCAGTTTCTACTGTTGCGGTTTCCACTGCTGAAGTTTTCAGTAAAGTAGTTTCCCTAACTGTAATTCCCCCTACGTTAGTTTTTACTGCTACAACTTCCTGTCCTGCAGCTCCAATGCAAAGAACATCACAACCTCTTCGATGCTCACGTACTTTGCTCCGAAATCTTGCCCAATGCACCCCCCTTTCATCTTTGTCTGTGCTTGGCCGTAGACGGCTGCGTTCCTCCTCACCACCCCCATCTACTCCACGATCTCGCATGCGAACAGACTCTCCATTTTCCATGGTTCCCATTGTTCCACCTTCTTTGCTAGGTACAAGTTCAGCTGCTGTTTGCAACACCACTATTGTTGTGTATCACCGACGACATCCGCGACATCGTCACTTGTCCGGGGGGCATTGCCCATCACTCCTGAACATACACACACACACCACACACATGCGCGTGCGCACACACACACACACACACACACACACACACACACACACACACACACACACACACACACACACACACACATCTGTTGATGGTGCAACACCTACAACAGTTGTTGCAGTAGTAACTGATGCACCTGATGTAGCTGCTGCATACATAATCACACACACACAAACACACACACACACACATCTGCTGATGCAGATGATGCAGCATCTACAACAGCTTCTGCAACAGATGTAGCTGCTGTATTCGCTGTACACACACACACACACACACACACACACACACACACACACACACACACACACACACACACACACACCTATTGCTGCCCACTATGCAACTTGTCGGGGACCGGAATGAGCGAAATGGCTCCGGTACCGGCCACACAAGGACGCGATTGGCAGCCCCCTTTGTGCTGGACTGAACATGTGTGATTCCCACTTGGTCAAGTGACTGAACACGCTCGGATGCTCGGTGGGGCGCCGAACATCTTCGGTGTGCTACGCAGATTCTGACGAAAGGGCAAGATTTTTGTTTGTTTTGTCGTCTTATACTGGATAGATTATGGGAGTGTGGCAATGGGGCTGATACGCCCTCACGAAGGGCATGCTCGTAGTTGCACTCGGGAGAATGTATCAACCTACATTCAAGTCCTTAGCTTTGTTTCAATTGTTTATTTATTTTTTTGGTTATTTCTTGGTTCCTCCAGGCTTGTCCTGTCCCGCTATTGGTATCTCTAGGCTCGACAGACTCGGCATACCGGTTGCCCGAGGGTCGGCCTGCATAGCTGGCCGAGGTATTGGTGGTTTAATTTAATTAAATTAAGTCGAATGAAGGAATAGCAAGTTCGCTGGCAGCGAAATGTAAAATATATTTTTGATATGTTTCAATGTTCATATGGAGTTGTTCAAGCACTAATAGTTTTTTTTACTTTCTTTTTGTTCCTTGTTTTTGCATTGGGATTCGAACTTGAACTGAGCGAGGCCTGTTGGTCATAGTAAGTTTTTTTCTTTTGGGGAAAAGAACGAAACTTTGGGGAACAAGAGGCTGTTTCATGCCTCATTGGTTGTATCACTCCAGCAGGAGTCGTAAGTTATCTTGCAACATATATCGTGTAGAAATTCATTGTCTATCTAGCAGCTAATACATACATCCCAGTCACAACTCTCCCGCCTCCAAAGTCACACAAACATAGTGATGGAAATGGTGATACTTAGGTTCTCGCTCCGCTGCACAATATTATACGTGTGTGAGTCATTGGGACAGATCCATGAGTCGGGTATACTTGGAATGATCCAAAATCAGATACATTTAGAATGTTGAGTGGTGGATCAAGGCCCTTATTGTGGTCCAAAAAACGTAGAATATGGGTCCCAGTGATGACACTAAATGAAGCAGCAAAGAAGATCATCGAAAAACGAAGGCAGGCAGTTGCGGATATCCGCTTGAGCCTACCGGATCGTGAGGGAGGGGAAGTCATGAGGGCGCCACCAGGAACAAGACTCAGTTTTCATGCTTTAAGTACAACTTGAGACTCGTCACCCAGATGCGCTGGTGGATGGGGGAGCAGATATCACACTCATCAGGAAAGATTTCGTGAAGATCATAGGGTGCGCTGTCAACAAGGAGACAACTGGAAGCATCCGGGGAGCCGGTGAGGAAATCCCATTCTCCCGGTATGTCACTAAGTGTGCGGTCAAGGCTGGGGTCCGGGAGTTTATTTGGTCGTTTCAACGGGTGACCATCATGGACGAAATGATCGATGACGTAATCCTTGGGAGACCCTGGTGTGCGAGTGTGGAAATGATTGGGATGCACCTACGTGACCAAACATATATGGTGGACATCAAGGACCTGGATGTAGTGAGCTGCTCCAACTCGTCGCAACAGGAGGTTATCCTCCAACGGAAAAGTTAGCGGCTGAAAATATCCTGTGAAGAGTTGTCGGTGCGGCGACCCCAGTTAAGCACTTGTGCTGAATATGGTGCAGGGACAGACAGGTAGGGAGTCTTTGACATAAGCAGCAAGCCTGTGGGAGATGATTGTGGTCCCACTGAGATTCGAAGTCTGAAGAAAATAGAAGACAACACGAAATGCCAAGGCTGCCTCCCCCAAGTAGGCATGGGGTTAGCCAGAAATTTTGATAAAGTAAAGCAGCCCTGAGAAGCAACATTGACCCTTCAGCTCAAGTTCCATAGCTGGCGAGCAAGAATCAAGGAAGTAGTAACCGTTGGAAGGATCAGTCTGTTCAGATTGACGCTCAAAAGATCATGATGACAGCCACCTTTTGTGCACTAAATAAGACTTAAAAATTGAGGACAGAGCTGACTGTAGGCACTGCGTTCTGTTCTGCAGGAGCAGGTGCAAAGCCCCAGGCCATATCACTTACAAGAGAATGGGGATTATCATGGGTTTCACTTTGGATTAGCTTTTAGTGCGCAATGAGCCCGCTGTGCCCACCGTGGGAATTCCCGGATCTCTTCCCGCCACACCGTCTCTTGCTGGTGGACATGCAGTGGTATGGAGGTGGGAAACAGGCGGTTTTGACCAATATAGCTGAGCAAGAGCATGTCACAACACAACACCAACAGGGACAATAACAAAAGACACAGCCGGGGATACTTCCTCTGGCGGCTCTAGGGAGCTGAAGAGGCTGACCTCTTACGAAGACAGTTTAAGACACTGTTTACTGCTTTCGTCAGCCGAAGCAGGGTAATGGCCCTGGTGGACGAATAGAAGCGGAAGGAGGGATCCTGAATGTAGATGGGGTGCAGGACCTGGTTTCCAGCAGGTGCTGCTCCCCACCAATAGACTGGAGCGACCAGTGCCGGGCCTACTAGAGGGAGATGCTCATATCATCCCCTCTAGCAGACCGACACTGGTATTAACCCCCCCCCTTCCCCAACCCCGCCTCATCCTCCAACCCCCCCCAAAAAAAGGCATTGCCTGGGTTTGAGGATTCCCTTCCAGTTTGATGCCAACCTGCTGTTAGCTGAAGTCCTTATTGCGGTGTTTTTTGGTGATCTCAGAGCAGAGTTACAGGGACTTCTCAAACTCGTCACAATCACATACGTGAAGTCTGCACATACCTGAAGTCTAGGCAGAAGAGAGGAACTCATGCTTGTGCTGTGTTGAAGACAGAGATAGGATTAAGGAGACTGTCTGGTATCCTTATCACGAGTCTTCGTGCTTGCTTTGCTTGATACTTGCAGCATGCCAGTGCTCATTTCTGCAGGATGTTGTGGCTTCTGAGGGCCTAACGTCCTTAGCATTTTGTTAACTAGTCTGCGCTGACGGCCACAATCAGAGCTGTTTGGGCCCATGGGAAATCGGCCACGGGTCCTGTATGGGCAAATGGCTAAGGAACATGGGCTGCCGCAATAAGGCAGAACAGAATGCAGTGCCGCAATGTTGCAGGACACCATATGACGAAAGATTGGGCATGCGGCCGCATGATGATAACAACAGACATTTCAGAGAGCGTGTGTGCGCCTTCAATAAATCATTCAGGCACCACTGTCCATCCCGTCGGGGGGGGAGGGAGGGAGGGAGGGAGGGAGGGAGGGAATGGACATAACTGCTCCAAAGCTCGGCAGTTCTCTGTTTTTTTTCTCCAGTAGAATACTAGCACATTGTGTATGCTTACCCACGAGAAGCCTTTTCCAGCCACAATTGGCACAAGCAGTAAACAGCCCCTTTTTGCCAGATGTCTCGTATTCCCACCATGCCCCCTTTTCTGCGAAGAATTATGTATCCACAATTCAGGCCCTGGTTGTCAGAGATGAGCATTTTGTTATAGTTGCCACTCAACCTGACCCACCCTATTATTTTTTCTGTAGAGCACTGTTGGCCCAAAAAGAAAATTTCTCTTCAAGGCGATCCAGCCCGCCCAAGCATTTTCTGAAATTTTGCTTCCATGCCCAATCCATCAGCCACTCGAACAGAACCTTCACCCTGACCCACCCACTCTCACAAGAACATCGTTACCCTAATTATTATTTAATGTCTGCTCCCTCATCACCTGAGGCCCCCAATACTAGACGGCCTGCCACGTTGGACTTGTTGTGCCTTCTCCTCATCGCTGCTCCACCTTGCACCGCATGTCAATAGCTTCTCACAGCGGAAGGGAAAATGAAAGGCATTATTTTTTTGAAATAGAGAGTGAATCTTGCTGCCTGGTGAGGTTATAGTTGGTACTTGTTGTTTTAACATGCGAGTCAAAATGTGCTGCTGGCTGCTGGACCTAGGTTTGTATTTTTTCCCTAAGGGTGGAGCCTTTTCTATTTCATCGTTCTTATTGTCAGTCCACAGCGGTTGGGTAGCTGGGACAGGCATAATCTTTTTTTCCTTCGGGAAACTGGGAGGGGAAGGGTAGGTGGGGGGTCTTTATGGGTTGTCTTGGGTCTTGTAGGCCGGGTGGACCCAGCCCAAACACTCACCTGTGTGTCACCCACCCAGTCAGGTGACCCATGCCGAACACCGACCCACCGTCAGCCACCCAAGCTGGCTCTCACCTAGACCCACCCATGCCCAACCCAAGCTAGCTAATTTACACCCACACCTGACCCAGCGACTTGTGGGTCGGGTGGGTGTGGGTCTGGGTACCTGTTGCTCATCTTTGCTGGTCGGTGCCAGAATTGTGCTTCATTAAACCACTTGTACCTCCGAGCCTATTTTTGACAAGTACTGGTCTACCTCCGAACTTTCAGGAGGCCGAGCCCGCCGTTGATGAATCTGATCGGCGGCCGTCGTTTTGTTTTGGCCTCCTGAGAGGTGGGAGGCCGAGTATTTTCGAACCGACAAACGTACTAGTGGGGCTCAAAGTTCAAGACCTAATACAGTAATGCTGCGGGCTACCTCGTTCGATGGAAACGGCCTTTTGATCAGTCAACTGTGAGGCTGGTTTTGCTCACTCCAATGATATGATACAGTGCTGCAGCTTGGATGACGCAGGTTGGACTGTCGTGCTCACGACAGCCGCAGTTCGACCGGTGTTTTCACCCTGAGGGCCTGAAGTAATACGAAAAAGGGCTGCACCTTGGCTGTGCAGGTTTGACTATCTGGCACGGGACAGCTATTTCTGTGGTGTCGAGCGATGTTTTGACCATGAAAGGTACAGTAAAGCGACGGTATTATTCACCACACCTTCATCACAGCCTAAGCAAATAGGAAGCATAACAAAGGTCTATTCCTAATGCAGAAGGTAAAAGGAGATGCATTAAGAAAGTTCAGATGTTTGCAATGCAGAATGTGTTTGATGCGCAATAAGTGGTGAAAGAGCAGGAGGATGGGAGAAGCTGGGAGACTGCGGGTGCAGGTTGGGTGCCCCCCCCCCCTCTCCCCCCCCTGGCATACCGCACCTCATAGTGTGCGTCTGGGTACTCTGAAGTTTCCCAGTCACTATGGGCCCGGAATGCAAGGGTGTGGGAACGGAGCTTCAACCCTGCCCTTGCAGCCTCTCCCTGATAGGTGGCTCGGGCTGCGGCGGGGGAAAGGAAGGCTGTAACTTTCTAAGTCTTCTCCTTTTTGTTGAACTCATGCTTGCCTGTAATAAGAAACCGGACTGCTGCCCCCCAGAATAGAAGGGGCCTGTCCTTTTGTAAAAAAAAAAAAAAAAAAAAAAAAAAAAGTGTCTGATGCGGAATGAACAAAAAATGGAACCTTCATGAAAACTGTAATGCTTTCTGAAACAGCATGTCTCAGCAGTTGTCAACATTAAACCACGGGTATGTTTCCCGGGTATTTTTTCAGAGTTGCGGCTCGCATGTCACAACTTTCGGGACGCGGCGCTGGTTCGTTTTTTTTTGGCGTGCAGAGCGTTTTGAGCCCCGGGGAAAAGTGCCTTGGAAGTACTGATGGTTTAATGTAGATAGCAGGATGCGGCGGAGAATGTCGTCAGCACACTCCTCTTGAAGGTTATATGGAAGGTTCGAGATTTAAGGTGAAGTCTAATGGGAGGTTGGTTCAAGATTTAAGGCTTTATGAAAGGTTAATGGAAGGTTCGAGATTTGAAAAAGTATTTGTAAAAAAATAATCGACAGGATCGATCAACACACTTCCCTGCATTATGACCCGGGGAACCCGACCCCTTGTGGCGCTGGACCGTGGTCCGATTCTCAGCAGGTGACGCTCCCCAGCAATAGAAAGGAGCCTTCTTTTTAAAAAAAAAGAGAGGATCAACAGCAAGACAGGATGAATAGATGCTAGATAGGTGCTTGTACATCTGATGATTTGCAGTCAATTATGAGTTGCAGGCTGTTTTCTTTGTGTTTTCATTCTATGCAGAGTTAGCCTGTGAGTCTGTGTGAACAAGTGTTATCTTCTGGAGGCCGCAGCATTAGTATATCGTCTTTACTGAGTCTACTCTGGATTTGGTTGTTGCAACTTCTCCCATCTAGCAGCCACATCCTGCCAAAGTTTTTCTCTTTAAGTTTAAAAGCTTTGGCTTTTCCTTGTTTCAGTTGTGTGATGATCTCTTCCGTTCTTCGAGGTTTTCTCAGTTTCTGGGACATAATCTTATGTCCATTGTCCTCCATTAATTGCTTGTTTCTAAACACTTTGCATCCGTCACACTCCTGCCATCTTGGCATATTCGTTGACGTAGCAGTTAATTCACCAAATATGCTCTTGTATTGTCTCTCACATGCGCCTATCTATCTGCTTTGTCGACTCCTTTCATTGTCATGCTCTGTGCTGCTTGCTGTTGCTCTCTGCTCAGCTTGAACTAGTCTATTATGGTGTACCTGAGCTTGTAGTTGCTCTCTGTTCAGGTTGAAGTGTGGGGATGAACGGTCAGGTTTATGCAATGAACCTCCTGGTTCAACACCAACGAGGGCACAAATTCACACCACATGCATGTATGAGTTCGCACGAAAAGCACACTGGAGACCGGAGTGATGAAAACCAGGTAGCGCAGCTTATCTTTTCCCGAGAGTATTACCAGAGCAATAAGAGTTCAAGTCACTAGCGGAGTCTAGCGCTCATCAGCGCGTGCCAATAGGTAACCAATAATCAGCATAAACTCTCAGGTAAGTATCTCTTCCCCTCTGCTCTTCCCTCCTATGTTTCTCTCCACCTTGCTGGTCTTCTCCCTAGCTATGACCTCGCTGTGTCTTCTCTCCCTACATGCATTCACACTCACTATCTACTACTTCATGGATCTACTCTGAATACACCCACTGTCAAGTTGGGTCAACCCTACTAACCCCTCTGGAGTCTACTACTAACAACTAGCACTAACACTTCTGCACTGGCGCAGCTATGGCTGCTGTCTCCCTGCCAGCGCTATCTTCCTCTCTCTCCCTCACTTAGCGCAGCACTCTGGCCTCAGCGCTCTGCTCCTCACTTCAGTGCACAAGTGCACCAGGCCTTCCACACTTCTTAATGAGCAATCTGTCCGAATGTGAGGCTGGCCACTCCTTTTGTAGTCTTGGTTTGCACTTCAACTCGTGCCCGCCTCTGTTTCTTGGGTCCGGTCTGGTTCCGGTACCACATCCCCACGGCCTGTCTGCTACTGAATGTCAAGCCCTGGAACCTTCCCGAATTTCCATTGGACTGCTGCTGCTGCTGCTGCTTGGGCCCTTGAGTCGTGACTTTTCACTTGTGAACATGACTTGACTTTTGACTGTGGACAGTCTCTCTTGTCTGTGGGTCACGACTTTTGCCTGTGATACTACCTTTTACTTGTGGGATGTCTCTCTTGAATATGACTTTTCATTAGGAAACGTGATGCTCCTGTCTTGCGACGTGACTCTGTTTGCTGGGTGCCTGTTGGACCACCAGACTGCTGAGGTACCCGATTGTGACTTTTCTGAGTAGAATGAACTCGGCCTTTTCTTGGCCTGGGCATCTGACGCTGAGATCCGAATTTGGGGTCTGAATCGTGGAAAGCCTTTAATTTACGATGTTCACCAACTTGAAGTGCACCCACCCTATCATCATTAATGTATACAGGCTCTATTCTGACCAAATGCGTTCGTGATGTTTTGCAGGGGGGGGGGGGGGGG